CATTTGTTTTTGAAATTGTAATTAACCTCAGAAAAAAAGAAATACCCTTTTGAACTGTATTTTTGTTTTGAAAAATAAAACAAGTTGGCTTTATTTAAAAAACAAGACAACATCAAAATAATTGATTTTAATACCAAAAAAGATGTTAATTAGAATATACAAATTATAAACATTATACTAAATATCCATATGAAAACATGTTATTTAAACTAGAAATTAAACGATTTTGGATTCTGTGGTGGATACAAAAAACACATATCGTGCATGTTTGTGTGTTTTTCATTTTATCAACCAATTTGTTTTCAAACTGCCAGCTGGTTTTGTTTTGTTTTTACAACTGTCAAATAAAATTTAAACTTTCGATATTATATGCCTTGTATTAGATGTATCATTCGAGACCTCTCATTTTTTAAATATAAAATATATTTAAATATCTTCCCAAAAACCAAATTTTGAAAAAAAAAATATAAAATTATGTGTATCTAAGTACTAATACGCCTCTGCGGATGCACAGGGGCGAGAGCATATCAATACTTTGAACCTTGCTGCCAAGAAAAACAATTGTAATCGGATAATTCCACCTAATTATTAAAACTATCCTGTTTCTAAAATCAATGAAAAAAAAGTATACTTTCACAAACAAAGAGAAAAAAAAAAATGTTTTAATTTCCTGATTATTGATTTCGGCTTGCGACACACACTGACATCACCTACAGATCCTATTAAAAGTGCTACTTTAAAACTCCTATCTAGCATACCAACCTACATTCAAATGGAAATGGGTCCAATTTACATATAAAAATAAAAATAAGAAGCATGAACCAATTAAAATCGATTTGTACAGAATCTGTATCCAAATAATCTATACTCTATAAAATATTAAAATCCCCAAGGAAAATATGCTTCTGGAACCATAGATTCAACATTGCATTTCTTGTTTAATAATTGAGAAAAGAAAAAGTTAATAATTAAAATGTGTACAAAAGCCTAAATAAGCAACAAGACCTAGACAAGAGGCGTTAAAAAGAAAAACAAAAACAAGTTGGTTAGATTTGGATTGGGTCAATGCAATTTAGGTGAGTCCGAATTTTTAGTTCACACAAACTCTGCCCACATCTACCCACAACACATTATCCCGTGAATTGGGAACATCTCCCCCTACATAATATTATGTAGGAGGATGAGATGTTCTCTATGTGTAGCTGCAATGTTATGTGGGTAGACGTGAGCAGAAGATTTGGACTCGTTTTAGGTTGGGTCCACAAAGGCTAAATTCTAATCTTAAATATTCGGTTATAGATCAACCCTAAAATAACATTGAAAATTCAGAAAATAACGAAGAAAAAACTTGAAAATTCAAAAATTGAAAAATTCAAAGAATAAATACTATAAGAGTAAAGAGTGAGAGCTTCTAGTAATACATAAATATACCTGGCAATTGGGTGACCTGACCCAATTTTTTTGGTTCACATCAGGTTCATCTCGAATTTGGGGGTCACTAGATACGAGATCTTAACCCTATTTTTCGGATCAGGTCTGATTAGGTCAGATTCACTGATTGGGTCAATTTTTTGCTAAGTCTACAGGCAATACCCACAATAAAGCCACAACTTTCTCAAAACTAAAGAGAACCCAAGTCTATCAATATCAAAACAAAAAAAAAAAAAAAAAGAAACAAAAAGAAAAAATCACTACTCTCAACCTTGACTCCGAGAAAAGACAAGCAAGAACATAAATTAATTATGTATTTTTGTTCTAAGAAAATATTATTTTTCTAACCATTTATTTGCCCCAGTTTTCTTAAAATCACAACAAAGATTACTGCAGAACAAAACTAATTTATGTTAGAAACAAACGAACACAGATGCGTGTAGTGCATATTATTTGACAAAATAGGTTTCATAATTACCCTGCCGATTTTATTTGGGTTACAATATTTCCATAATTTATTTAAGTTTTAACTATTTGATATAATATGGTTTGGGAGTRAATTTTTGTTCAATTTCCAATTAAGAAATCAAAATTGTTTAACAGCGTAACATTAATCCAAAGAACATGCCGTATATTCTCTATATTCTCTGTCTCTTGAATAGTTGAATTTGCATAACCAGACTGCAGCACCATAACGGCACATCACGACAGGCCGTTTGCACTAAATAACTTTATTTTTTATCTTTTACCATCAAATCTTCTTCTACTTGCACTAATTAAATAACTAATTACCCAAATAAATAATCATCTATCGCTTTATATAAGCCTGTAGCGAAATTTGAATATCATCTCATTGTCTATATATATATATATATATATAAACAACTTCAGACATTGTTATTAGTTTGTTGATCTATTAATCTTTGTGATAAATTCAATTTGAAGAGACAAGCTACAATGATGGTGCCCTCCTTCCCATCTGATGATAGAACTCTATCCTCTTTTGACATTATATCCTAATTAAATTGGATTACTCAAGAACAGGGGTTGCTCAAGCAAGAAAGAGGTCTCGCAAAGAAGCGACCGACCATCCTTGTTTTAAGGAGCAACAAATTAAATTACTAATCAAATGGATCCTAACAGACTTTTGGCTGTAAAGCTAGTAATATGCAAACAAAACAAATCCCAAAAAACAATACTATAATCCACTCTACAACATAAGTCCTTAATCTAAGACAAACTAGAAAACCATGGAATAACAAAATCCTTAATTAATCTAGATCTCCAATTGGCTGGATTCATTAGTGGATGGGCCATGTGTACATGTGATGTGAGCACTAATGAGGCTTAACAGCACATGATTATTTCTAAATTCTAAATAATCTAATGTCAGGACTTTGCTGATTTTGTCAAATTTGGTTTGTCATGGAGCTTTGGGATTGTAAAGGAGTATGGTTTCCGGATGCCCCTCATCATTGAAGCTTGTAGGACTGTTGGCCTTTGTTGGGACATGGTGGGAGCCCATCCATGTGTTCACATGTGTTTGTGTATGTGTACTCTACAGTGTTCATGTATTTGTGTGTGTGTTTCTGCGTGTGGGCACGGCCACAGCCACTTAAATCAACAGATACATACAAAGGGATATGGGTCCCTCTACAGTGTTCAAAAAGTGCAGAGTCCGAGTTAACCACAATTTTCCTCCAAATCTCTCAAAGGTGGTACGAGTTGGGTGCAAGGATGGGCGTAAATCACGGGCGTTGACAGTTGAGACACCCCCAGGCTGGCTGGCTTACTTGGTGACTTGGTCCTGCTCCTGCTCCTGCTGCCCTGCCATAACGCACTCAGCTTGTGGGTTGTGTGTCTTCACTCTTCAGTCCACTCCATGTGAATCTCTTTAACACCTTAGTACACTTACAAGCAATAAATTTGAGAAGTAGCCACTGTGGAGTAAACTTCCATTACAACCCTCCCCTTTATATTTGCATACTTTCACTTACATCATATGGGAGAATTGGGGTAATGGGGTTCTGAGTTTTAATTCTGGGTCTAGAGTTAATTATCACTCTGCTCAGCTGGTCCAGTACTCACCAGTGGTAGTTGTTCTAACACTTGATAACACTAATGACCACATTCTTGTATATATAGTTATATATATCATGTYCATGGGCTTCTTTAAAATATTTTAAGATGAGTGTTTACTGTTAATCAATTCCAATGTTTTCGAACCAGAGAATCGTTCAGGCAATAGGTTCTGTTTTACTACAAATTTAGTTTTTGGCCAAAAATCGTTGTTTGATCAATAATCTATTCTATCCATTCAATGATTTTTGATCATTTTTTTATTTTAATTTTTTATTAAAATGAGTCATCCATTCGATTTAGATGATCAAACTATTGACCGGTGACCAAGATGATTCTAGTTTCGGATCGGTTTTCAAAACATTGATTAATCCAATTAAGTTGAAGAAAGAAAAAATAGTCTATTAAATATTCACCATGATCATCCAAAATTCCAAATGAAGTTTGATTCATGATCTGAGAAGTCTTGTACATGATTGATAAAGAATGTGCAAATGACAGCATAGTGGAGAGCTGTTGGAGTGTATTGGGAAGAGAAGAGAGAAGCAGAGAGGGTTCCGTACCCCACGGCCTGTTGATGGGTAGTTGGGAGAGTTGGAGAAAAGTCTTGAAAGACAAAGGGGTAAGAAGATGAGGGAGATGCATGAGATTTTCAGTCAGTGACTTGCAGTCTCGTAATTTTCAACACAGGCCCAAGAATAGTAGCCGCCCATTAGATTGTGGGCCCAGCCCTAACATCCCACTCAATATACATAGTCAGTAGTGATACCCCACTAACCTACGGTGGGGATTAATTAATATTACAACTACTACTTGATATATACCTCAGTGGAAAATTTGCCCAAAACTATATATATACATATTTTTGTAAGCCAGAAATATCCAATTATTGAGGGAGATCTCTCATCTCTGTATTTGTTTCACACCATAGATTTTAAACCACCATGTGGAGACCATGTGGGGTTTTTTATTTTCTGTCAAGGCCAATGCATAGGAATTTTTTTCCCCTGGTGGGGCCCACCCACCACAAAGCATCAGCATGTTCTCCGGATCCTGCCAATCACAAGTCACAACCTTCATTGTCCTATCCTTCTCATTATCAATAGGTCCGAAAATGATGTCACCCTATACACTTATTAAATTCAATTACCTAACAAATAGGAAACTCATAAACCCTAATAACCCCAAAACCCCGGTTTAGCATTTGACCCCTTTTGGTGCTCCAACCACCTCCACATTTCTTGATAGGCCCCCAGCTGTGTATTGTGTGTGTATAAAACTACAGAAGATTTGGATTTGTGTATGGCTGGCTGAGAGAACTTTTCTTTTGTTACCGTAAAGAGATAATATTTTAATCTCTCGGGTTTGGGTGGTGGGCCTTGTGAACCATGTGCATACATGTGGTGTGTCTTTCTCTCATGGTCCCACCACTTCCCTACTTTGTGCAAATAAATGGGCTTTCTACAAATTCCCCCCACTGCTCTCTCTCTCTCTCTCTCTCTCTCTCTTGGTTCTGATACATTTTGGTTGGAGAAACTGATTGTTTCCAACACTCTGCGACATCTTTACTCATTTGTTCCTGCTGCTCAATCAATTAAAAAAGGATTTTAGAAAGAAGGTAAGCATCCAAAAGCATCTCTCTTGACCAAAGCCATGAGAAACCTTTTTTCTAGTCAAGCGAACTGAATTCTTGTTCCTTGTTTTTCATCTCCATTGCTGATTCGTGTCCTGGGAAACTCTGGTTTTTCTTAATTTATAGTGAATTCTTTACCTTCTCCAACATTTTGATCAATATCCACTGCAACTAGCTCCACAGCTCACCTCTATCTGTAGAACCATAGTTTTCTTGATTCTCTCTCCTCTTTCCTGCAACTTGCCTCCAGCTTTTGATTTTATCGTTTGCTTTTCCCTGGATAAGAGCAAGATAATTTATGTTTGCCTGAACCAGATTCTCGCAAATTAAAGTCATATATATTTGATTACTCCCCATTCCAAATAACAGCATTGGTAACTGATTATTTCATATTTTCCACGTTTAATTAGGATCAGATTCTCCATATCTTTATTTCTTTCGTTGCAACAGCCATGACTCCTAGTTCTTTCAAGCAAGAACTACTGAAAAAATGGGTACTGGGTCTCCAATCCTGTGGTTCAATGGCCAAGGAAATGAGTTTCCTGGAGAGAAAAAATGCAATCAAGCTATCGGCAGACATTGCCATGGCTTCCGCTAGAGGTGGAAAAACTCGATGGAGTCGCGCGGTCATCTCTAGTGCTTCCAAACGAGACGATAGCAAGCTTCTCGTTAGGAACATATTGGGCAATGAGTTTGAGCGGCTAATGAAGGCATCAGTCGGAACTCCCTCGTGCAACAAGAGGTTTATGAGCAAGAAGATCTTGAGAATGAGCCGCGGATTGCGTAGGCTGAGAAGAAGTACTGCACGAAGACGGGTGCAAGCTAGCTCTATCGCCAAAAGGATGGTGCAGAGAAGAACCCAAGTTCTGAAAAGTCTTGTACCTGGAGGAGAATCCATGGATGGGTTCTCTTTGATAGAGGAGACTCTTGATTATATTCTCTCTCTCAGAGCTCAAGTTGATGTAATGCGATGTCTTGCTGATGCTTCAGAGCGCTTGAAAAGTAAATAAGATCATCGAGCATCTAGTTAAATTTCTTTTCTTTTCTTTTTTTTTTTTTGGTTTAGTTTCTTCCTTCTTCCATGTTAATTAGCTAGACAAGATGGAGAAGAATAGAAGCTTATATAATTCAGGCATGTATAGATGAAACTATATGTGTAAGTCAAGCCTAGCTTTTCTTTTCTTTTCTTTTTCCTTTTCCCCCCTTATTTCTTCTCATTTCCATAATTCCATTTTAACTAACACAAGTTTACAGGTCTGTGTCTTATGCTTTTGGGTTTAACCCTTTTATGATGCGAAGGCATATCCATTTTGGTTTTTCTCATTCATTTTTTACTTGTTATATTTTTTGTTTCCATATTCTGGTTTTGAGCTTATTCAGAAAACAAGAGAAAGTGTATGATTTTGTTTTCCATGAACAAAAGTAAATAAAAGAAACAGCTTTAACTCCGTTTGCAAGAAAAGAAAATTAGTTGGCATCATATAATATAACAAATCCAGTATTGCAAGGCTTATACATTTGTTTTGAGCAACTTGATACCTTTTTATAGTAACTTCAATTTCTGGCCCAAATTGTTTATCTTAACCTCCATATCCTAGATGCTGTTACATAGATAAAGAAATAAAACAAATTTAAAGGGTTGAGGAGAGAGAGAGAGAGAGAGAGAGAGAGAATGCAATTCTATTTCCTGTTATTTGAAGCAACTGATTTTTTTCTCTGCTAATATTGGTGAGGAAAATGGAGATTGGTTTTGAATTGTTGAAACGTGAAGTTAATTGATAAAGCTATAAAGCTTGGTGTTGACATGAGATCAGAAAGAAAGGCCAAATTGCACACCCGTGCAGATCGACCAGTTTGTGTAGGATATATATATGTGGTGATGGCGATAGGAACACATGAGCATAAAGATTTTCTCTATGTTCTAATTTAAAATATTACATGGGAGGTAAGTGCACATCAATCATAAGTATCCAAACTAAAGCCTCAGCGTTGTTTTAACCTTTTCTCCTCAAAAAGCAAGGATATTTTGTTCTTGCGTAGGTTGGCGAGATGGAATTATATTGTGTCCACCGCCATTAAAGTACTTCATGATGTTAGTGCAGTTATCGATCAGACACCTCAAATTTCAAAACCATTTTCATTTTCAATTCAAATTTTCAGATCTTTAGAACATAGAAGACCACAATGAGGCCATTCATTTGATGTGAGGTTCACATGAAAAACTACGTGGTGTTTTCTGTTTCTTCTTATTCTTCTTCTTCTTCTTCACAATTTCAGAATTTCCAGGGAAAAGTGATAACCATGAATACCAACTCTGAAACCATAATATGGGCACACAGGTTATCACTTGACAGGACAGAGATGAAACCCACTTGCAAGCCAAAATAAGTACAATTCACATGTAATTCCACTATGTATATTTTAAAGAAGATTTTATTTTCAAAATGTGCAGGTGCTTAATTATCTTAAGCAAGAGTTCAATTATAACAATTGTTCTATGTGAATCTTATCATGTCTCTCAATCCAAAAATGTTTTCAATATATGTATTAATTCCTCACTGTTTTGGTGCGTGACAGAGCTCCTATTCCTCCATCTAACACACTATTTCACCCCAACTTAAATCCAGCAGGCTTCCAATCATGATCCACAAGAACAGTCCAACCTTTTAGATGTTGTGCCTGCACCTACCACGTACCATATATATATATATATATATATATAATTGGGCTAAGTGGGTCATGTTTCCACGGATTTCCCTTCATTTGTATAGATAGCATTCACCAATTATGCATTTTATCTTCATGAATTCATTGTCTGGGAAAAGGAATCTGATAATTTTGGGTCTCACAGAAGGACAAAACATAGGCTTTATTCTATATTGCCAGATCAAGCAGCAATAAATGAAGACTAGTACTCTTTGGAATTGTTCCTCCAGCATGCCTCGATGGATGTGGAACAACCATTTAGATATCCTTTCCAAATATCATTCCAAGAAAATATAGTATTGGTTCAATATTCATCGAGTAGCTAGGCAAAGAGTCACGGGTACTTCTCTCTGCTTTCATGTTCTATTTCTCCGTCTTCTTATGCAGTTGGTCCAGTACTCAAATATCTGGCTAGTAGCCTTCATTTAATGGAAACTATTTGAAACATTTCATTAATGATTTATTGTTAGCTAATTTCCAACTTCTACTGGTGAACAGGTCACATGTTGCTTAGCTTGCAAAAGTCCAAGACCCATGTTGATATATTGAAATGACACAAAGTAAATTAATGTCTAGCTAGCTATAAATATATACGGCCGAGGGGAACTTGAAATATCAGAGGCCACATATATTATTGTTTCGTATGGCACCCAGTATCATATCCACATATTTTACAAGCAAAAAAGGCAAAACCAAAAGTAATTAAGCAACTCTGTGGTTAAAGTGGAAGTAACTCTTATGGTAAAAGTGTCCATGCATGCTACGCCTTTCCTATATTTAATTATCCATTTTATTTGATTAATTACTGTAGCATGCTAGCAGCTCAGCGAGAATTAACGATTGTTGTTTCCAGTACTCATTCAGTCTTTTGGAAATCTAATTTAATTTATAGATGTGAATGAGCTTAGTTGAATAAGGGCTCTTTCTCTCAACAAGCCAAACCAATGAACATTAATGGAAATTGTATACAAGACAAGAAAGAGAAAACTGTGTACAAGGATATACGTACACAATAATATAACAACTCTCCTATCTATATCTATCTTATGACACTCTTTAGTTTCTAGACTCTGGGTTGCCACTTCGGTCACGTATTCCTCTTGGATATGGCCATCCTTAACATGCAAACTTTGAGACACTCGATCTGGGTTGCCATTCTTATCGATGGTTTCAGTTGCTAATTCTAGCATTGTTTCCTTATCAGGTCCCTTCAAGGTCAATGGGGGAACAACAACATTGAACTTGACCTACACACTAGGAGCTGATCAGAGAGCTTTGGTATGAAGGCATCAGTAACCTGATCTGAGTAGACATGTGGCGGACATGCAGGGATTTGCAGAACTGAACATCAATGTCCATATATATGCTTCGTTCTGGAATGTGATAGAGGATTAGAAGCGAGAGGTTGTCCTTGTCCCCACATTGTCACATTAGAGAGTGGGTGCATGGTCAGGTGATAGAGACGCCAGGTTAAAGCTCAAGCCAACTGATTTTTACTGCAGTGTCAGCCATGCGGTGGAATCTGGACTGATGATCAGTACTAGATTAGAACCAACACAAACTGCAAATCCTTCTATTTTGCTGCATAGGCTACATCAGGTGTAGTGAGAGTGATATACAAGGCACCAACGACACTCTAATACTATGTTTGGTTTGAAGGAAAAGGTAGGGAAAGGAAGAGAAATGTATAGGAAAATCTATAAAAGGTTTGTAAAGGTTTTCCTACCTTTCTCCTTCTTTATTTCCCTAATTTTTTTTTTATCCTTCAAAGCAAACACAGGCCTAAAGGAAAGGATTAGAGGGAGGGAGGTGTGCCATCATCTTTTGGGATAGCTGGAAGCCAGCAGTGTATTTGTTTTGAGGGATAAGATAACCAGAGCTAAAAGCAACTTGAAGGACTAAAAAAAGGGTGGGAGGACCATTATAATGGAGAGAAAATTCATGCTCCCAAGTGTGAGATGAGAGAGAAGATGGTTGCATCACCATTCCTTCTTACAGACAGACCGTATGGTGGTTTGTTTTGATAATAAGATTAATGGTACGTATCATGCTTCATAATCAATGTCGGGAACCTAAGAGAACCCCTTGGCTACTAATTGAGCTTTATAATGTTCAATGAAACTGTTTGCCTTTTTCTTAATATATAATTCTGTACACCCACTTATAGCCAGCTACATTCATAGATGGATGAGAGCGTATAGCAACGACTAGGTGTTTGCAGAGTAAAGCATCAAACTCGACCTGAAGAGGATGGAACAACAAGTGAAGGGGGGAGAGACGCCCTCAGCTCTCCGGCCGGTAGACGATGTAGACTAGAAGATATATAGCAGAGGTTAAACACTAAGAGAAAGAGATGTCTGTAACATTTTATTAAAACGAAAAGCAATGCTGTCATAATTAAAAAGGAAAATAGCTTCACCACAAATGTAAACCTATCAAAATTTTTTGACACCTGTCCCTTGAGATACCCTGGAACCTACCATTGAAAAAGATTAAAATCCACTTTGGACAGTTGTCAGAATATTTATCAAATGTTCATTAAATGTGCTTACTATATTGTCTCTATTAGATCCAGACACTTGTAGCATTCATGGGAGGCACTATAATCAAGAAACACACATGGTTGCAATTTGTGAGAAGAATAAGGACACGTAAATAAGAGTAATAAGCACAACCAAACATGCAAAGTCGTATGGTGTAATATAGTGTTAAACAAAACTTCAAATGGTGATTTATTAGATAAAATCTTCGGAAAAGTATGAACATGTTCAATGCAGATTTCTGAATTCCACTGCAGAGCTATAAATATTCAAAATATCAAAAATCCTCGTTCTATACACCAATGCCCGCCTATGAATTAGAATCAATTCTAAGGTGGCACTTACGCCAACTGTACTTTGGGCCTAAAAATTCTGACCCTGGGCTGAACCATCATTCTCCCTAAAATCTTCTTAGGCATCTTATTGATGAGAAAATGTAGTATGAATGGACTCATCCCAATAGCAAGTAGGCATGGACACATGTGTTGTAAGAGATCCCATGAGGATAGGAGAGGTGATGAGAGATACCATATGCTAAAAAGGAACAGTAGTATTCTCCACCATAATCAAATTGAGAATACTTGAAAGTTGTGAAAAATATATTTTCAACATGAGCTTTAAATTTCAAGAAAATTTCAGTAGCATCAGGTTTGTGCCCCGTGGGATAAGTCCAAGTGAAATGTTAAAAATCATTAATAAATGTGATGTAATATTGAAATCCATTAGTAGAAGTAAAGAGCATAGGGTCCCAAATAACATTAGAATATATCACTGCAAATGGGAAGTAGTTCTTTAATGCCAAGGAGAAAAGGGAGTCTATGACTTTTTGTAATTTGACAAGGTGACAAATTGGAGAAACATTAGACTTAATAATTGTTAAACTAAAGGTTGACAAGACTTGTTGAACAATGCACAAAGAAGGATGATGGCCAAGCCTTGCACGTCACTCGTCTAGAGAAATATGTTCACCACTAAAGCATGGATGCCATTGTGAGAGAGAGAATCCCCCACTTGAAGTATGCCAAAGTGAAATTTAAAGTAACACTAGTGGAAACCTGTGTGATGTATAGGATTTGTTAAT